AGCCGAGAGCAACATGAATGACCTGGTCTCAGAATATCAGCAATACCAAGATGCCACTGCTGATGAGCAGGGGGAATTTGAAGAGGAAGGAGAGGAGGATGAGGCTTAAGGCAGTTGGTACCAGAGGAACTCTACTAAAGCAGGCATGTGGTCAGAATGAATTCTGATAATGGTGATAAAGCATGTTCTTTGCCGTGTACTTGATTATCCTCTGTCAGCATTATGTAACCTTAAAGATATCTATGTAATAATTGTCAAGTCAAGTTTATTGACCGCTTTGATCTTAGTTTAAGACACATAAAGGCATGTGTTCAAAATAATGTCTCCTGGTTTGTTTCTTTAAAATAGGTCTCCTCTTCTCATCCAGCATATCTTTTTTTATATATAGTCTTGTTAACTTCACATTCAGTGCTTCTTGATATGGAGTTAAATAGTTGCTACATAACAATCTTGATCCAGACAAAGACAGATTAATGCTGCTTCACTAGTTACTTTTTTTACAGACAAATTAATCTCTGCCATGCACTACTTGTTTACCAAGCAAGATACAGTAAGGATCTTAATCTACCTCTAACTGGCATAAATGCAAACAATTTCCTTTTACAGTTTCTTATAATGGAGAATCAAACTGCTAATAAAATCAGTGACATGACTTGGATGGGCCAAAGAGGGGGAATATAGTCATTAAATATACTAAGATAACCTTACATACACTTAATTTGTTAAACTCTATTATTGTAGGAAATCTTCTGCTAATTTGTTGAATTCTTCTGCAAAGCGTAAATGTAGATTGTGCTTTCCTTCTGGCATCAGAAACAACCTAAAAAAGATAATAATGTAAACTCTAAACATATACTAGTATATACAACACATAGGGCCACTGCATAACCATGGTAACCAAGTGCAAAATTTGAAGCAACTCCTGAGAGGTTTTTCTTTTTAAACACACTCCAGATTTCCTTGGGTATAAAGTCAGAATCTTGCTCAATTTAAATAATTAGCTGAGTTATTCTTAAAATTGACTCCTTGACAGTCTACCACTAGTGCCTACAAATCTAAATGTCATCTCTGGGGCAAACAAATTGGTGTTGGATCAGGGTAAAATGTTAGATGAGCTATAATTGTAAATCTCTGGGAAACTCTCTAAGTCAGTTACTTGCCAGAAGCCAGATGCTTGGTTTCCACTAGCAGATGTAGAGGGTTAACATTCCAGAGGTAGCATGAGATGTTACAACATCTCACTGATGCCTCCTATGAGACAACACTGGAATAGTCTCTACAGTACTTGCCTTCAGGGAAAAGAGTAGGGTGATGGTCATGAGTTGAAGTGATCCCCTTTTTCAGAGGAGCGAGCAGCAATGCTGGAGTGGATGGAGGAGACTCCTGATGAGGGCAGCATGACACGAAGTGTACCAGTTAAGTAACTAATGGGTTGGGCTGGGTATTTCTTCAATTTTGCTAACTAAGCAAACCTGTATACATTCTGTATGAATAGGGAAGCATGTAAAGTAAACTCTTAATTTTCATTTTGACAGAGGTTAAACCAGCTAACTAAACAGAACTTGCCTGTTTTGCCTTCATAAAAATGGCTTCCGTTTTCCTAATCCTACTCTACTGCTAGTCTGTACTGTCTGTTAAAAATAGTAATAAAATGAAGCTCTAGCTGACTGACTATTCGCAGCTAGGAAGAGAATGAAAAGCTGTACTCCACATGCTAAGAGGATGCATTGCCACAGTTTCTGGATGAGGAGAGCACTACTTCAAGATTTTGGGTAAAGGGGTTGAGAGTAACATCTCTGGACATATTTGTAGTCTGTACAGTTTATTATGCCAAAAACACTGATGCACTTGAGCAAAATAGTTGACTGTCACTTCATGTTTATTATGAGACCAGTGCCCAGTAGTAAAATCTCAGTAAATGTGTAGATAGAGCAGCTATGACATTAGCATTCAGTGCTACTTGATATAACTAGGCTTTCTGCTCTAGCCCTAGTATTTCAGGGCTTTGTTAGCTCTGCTGAAGGGGATAGCTATTAAATATCATATGGCACAAGAAGTGCAGTGGCAGTAATTCAGATGGGTGGAAGTGGTCTTAACTACACAGTTTCACTTTTAGATTAATAGATTCCAAGGTGAGAAGGCACCATGGTGTATAGTTCACAGGCCACAGACATTCCCTAAAATTAATTCCTAGAGCATATATTCTTTTATTAAAAAAATAAAAATAAAAAAATCTAGTACTGATTTAAAATTGCTAGTGATGGAGAACACACTAACCCTGGAACACTATTCCAATGGTTAAGTACCCTCACGGTTAAAAATTTACACCTTTTATTTCCAGTCTAAATTTGTCTGGTTTCAATGTCCAGCCACTGGATCATGTTATACCTTTCTCTGCTAGATTGAACAGCCCATTATTAAATATTGTTCCCCATATATGTACTTAGCCTGTAATGAAGTCACCCCTTAACCTTCTCTTTGCGGTCCTTGAGTCTATTTATCTTAAACAATTTCACTATAAGGCATGTTTTCTAATCCTTTAATCATTCTTGTGGCTCTTTAGACCCTCTCCAATTTATCAACATTCTCCTTGAACTATCAGTACTAGAACTGGACACAGTATTCCAGCAGCAGTTGCACCAGTGCCAAATACAGAAGTAAAATACTCTACTCCTATTCAAGATTCGCCTATTTATGCATCCAAGGACAGCACTAGTCCTTTTGACCATGGTGTTACACTGTGAGCTCATTATCAGCTGATTATCCACCCCCACTCCCAACTCTCTTTCAAAGTGACTGCTTCCCAGGATAGAGTCCCCATCTTGTAAGTATGACCTGCCGCCTTTGTTCCTAGATGTACACCTTTACATTTAGCCACATTAAAATAGGTATTATTTGTTCCCAGACTGCTCTATATCAGTGACCTGTCCTTTTCATTATTTACCACTCCCCCAAATCCTTGTCATTGCAAACTTTATCAGTAGTGATTTTGTTCTCTTCCAGGTTATTGATAAAAATGTTCATAGCATAGGGCTGAGAACCAATCCCTGTGGGATGCACTAGAAATGCATTTGCTCGATTGAGAATTCCCCATTCTCAGACATTTTGAGACCTATCAGTTAGCCAGCTTTTAATCCTTTTAGCTCCTTCCTCCTTTTTTAAAAACAGTACTATGATGTAAAAAGGGTAGTCTGCACTGCTCTCAATGTACCATTCTGGGGATGCTTAGAATCAACTCCCATCAGTGTCTGAGAAATTCTGCCTAAAGATTTTCCATTTCCATATTGTGTTCACTTCCTCCCTTCCCAAAAGGTGCTTCAAAACTGTGCAGCTGAAGGTATGACTCACCGTGACCCTTTGATGTGCTTGTGAAGATATTCAGCGTGAAACTGTGGTACCAAAGGGTCTTTCCCACCATGTATTATAAATGTTGGACACTTTATGTGAGGCAGTAAATGTTGACAAATATTACCTGAAAAACATAGGTTAAGGTTATGTTCTTCTTTTAAAATATGAAAGATTAAAATGGAAAAAATTGTTAAACTAGGAACTTCTATTGTAGCTCTTACCACTAGCACCCATGGGTATGTACAATGTGGTCACCTTACCACAGAGGTATAAGCAAGTGCCAAATGGGTGCTGCCTAGCATCAGTACAAAAACATCTTTTCCCAAAGATGAAATACATAATATACTTCTACTGCTGTGTGATGAGCTGTTGACTAATGAACCATCAATACATAGCAAAGCCAGTGCATGAAATATTTATGGCACCCACTTTTCGAAACATTCTAACTCAGGGGTTTCACCCACGTGGCCCACAGGGCTATTTTCTGCAGTCCGTGAGCCCCTTGCAGCTCCCCTAGTGTTTATCTAGAGCCGCTCCGGGAGAGGCTGGAATGTGGGGAAGGGGGGGCGGAGGGGCTATGTGTTGCTTTTGCTTCAGGTATCACCCCCAGCAGCTCCAAATGGCTGGGAATGGGGAACTGCAGGGAACCCGCACTCCTCTTGCACCCCAACCCACTGCCCTGATCCCCCTGTTGTACCCCTCACTCCTCCTGCACCCCCTGGGGGCAGAGTTGGGATGGGGATTTCAGGGAAGGGGTTGGAATGGGGGC